CCAGATCTAAACCCATGAACAGTGACACTTCGGCGACAAACCCGTCCAGATCTGAACCTGTGAGCAGCAGCAATTCGATGACAAACCCATATCTGCACCTCCACGAGAACAGGCACTTCGACGATTTCCATAGATCCCTCTATCATAATCACCAAGTTGAAGAAATGTGAGGTTTGAAAAGAGAAAGAATGATACTTTGTTTGAACAAAAATATTCTCTTAAAAAAAAGAAGAAGAGACAAGGTTTTAGAAGGAAACCTTTTTAAATAAAAAAAATATTTTGAAGATGAAAGTTTTTTTTTTTTTAAATAACGAAAAAACATTGTAAAGTTCTTGTCAATAAAGAAAAAGTTTTTTTTAGTAAAAATGACAAATTTTTTTTAAAGGGAAGAAAATAAAAGATTTTGATAAAATAAGTTTTTTTATTTTAAAATAAAAAGATAAATGTGAGTTTTTAAAAGATTTTGTTTTATGTTTTAAACAATATTTTTAAAGTGCAAATAAGTAAAAAGTTTTATCTTAAAATAAAATATCTTTTTTCAATAAGTTTCTTTTTGAGTAAATTATTTTGTTTTAATTTAAAATAAATGTCTTTTAAGTTAGTAAAGTTTTAAAAATGAAAAAAAAATCTTTATAGGAAAAGTAAATTTTTTTGTTTAGAAAAGTAAATGGAAGGTTTTAAAAGGAAATAAGACTTTGTTTTTACATAATTTTTTTTAATAAATTTTGTTTTAAGATAAAATAATTTCAAATTTCAAAGTAATAAAAAGATTTGATTTTTAAAATAAAAGATTTCGTTTAGATAGGTTTTTTTTAAAACAAAGTTTGAAAATAAAAAATTATGTTTTTTAAAAAGAAATTTAGATTGAACCTAAAGGTGTCGAAATGGTCGCAAAGGACTTAGGTGTTAACATCCATTATGCAAGTTCAAGCCCTTGTATGACTTAAAATAAAAATCATTTTGTTATTTATCATTTTTTACTAAATAATTATTTCAAAAACTCCAATGACGGAAATTTAAATCTTCCAATATTCTCGAGGTGATAAAATTTCCTAATGGCTTTCGTGCCACTCATAATTATTAGTTCAGGATTATTTCTGACAATATTTGGTAACTGTTTTTGAGTGGGTGTCGTAAAGTGCTAACACCTTCTCTAGGCTTAATCGACTTTTGAACCAAAAATCTATTTTTAACGGACCAAGTTTTTTTAAATAGGTGACCAATCACACTTTATAGATGGTTGGTGGCGACTCCAAACCCTTATCTCAAACGAGACCTTTCAAGAGATGACGTCGATTGCTCCATGTCGCGATGACGCTGTAACAGTGCCCTATTTAAGTTGTTAGAAATTTGGGGGAGCTACACAGTCAGAATGATGTAGCCAAATATCCAAACTGTAGGATACAAGACCTAGAAGACCTGCGAAGAGTAACCTGCTAGGAAAAATTAGATCAATAGGGTGGTGGTCAGATTTACAAAAATCTAGGTGGTCAATTGAATGAACCAGAAATAAAGTTTGCAACGCCAAATTGCTAAGGACCCAATACAGCCTTTCCTGTATAGCGGCCGAGCTCGGACGTCGATTAACCCATGTATAAATGGACCCGCTAAAGCCCAAGTCCATTAATCCACAATCATCCACTCCTCGGCAAAAAGCAAAAATTTCACGATCTGCACGAAGCCTCCACCACGTTTCTCCTTCTTGCTCAATATTTTGTTAAAATCGCCTCCAACAAGTCAAGGCGAAGCATCACTTCCTCGAAGTTGCCGCAATAAGGACCACGATAAATGTTTTAGCTCAATCTTCAGATATCTATAAAACCTCGTAAACCGCGACTGAAGACTCTGTCAATCAACTAAACTATCAATATGATTTTTGGAGAAAGAAAGAAGGCTAAGACTCAGAAGACAATAACAGAGTCAGCCCACCAGTGCCCCTACGCAATCAACACTAAAACAATTACCAAAATTCAACTAACGCTACAAAGATTCCATTATACTTGTCATAGCTCGTGTCTCAGAAAGGAGCACAATGTGAGGTTGTTTGAAATGCACCCACTTGTGCAGTCACCAGAATGCCCGAGGGACCCTAGACCCCGAGAATTCCAAAAAAGATCATGGTAACCGGTGGGGCTAAAAAATCTCAGCCGGCGTCGATGAGAACATAGTAGAAGTATCATCATGAGCACTGGTGGGTGTGTCCATCGTCTTTTTATTTTTCTTTCCGATCTAAGAAAGAAGCTGCACCTTTGAAGGGGAGAGAGCACGTTTACCCAGATTTTGACCATCAACCTTAGCTTGGTTTCAGATATCGATAAGTGGGCCTTGGGCATGCCTCTTCTAATTTGTTTTAGTCCGAGATGCAAGGGGAGGAGACAATCCCTTACCTAAATTAGTAGAGGGCGTAGTAGAGACAAACCCTTGCCCCAACGTCACAAAAACACCAAGCCCAAGTCCCACTGGAGTGCTTGACCAAAGATAGCCCAATAGAAAGCCCAACAGGAGAAATAGTCTGTGCTAGGAAATTCAAAGGTTGAGAAACGGTTCCATCCCCCCACCTGCCACACCCGAAGAGATTGTCCCACTATCCAGCATGTCCAGAACTGCCAACCCACTTGAATTGTCAATCAATGCTCCTCCCCTTGCTGATGCCAGAGAAGAAGGCATGGGATACGAAAAGGGGGCTCGTAGATCATCATGCCAAAGTGCCACATCAAACCCCCAAGAATCAGAAGTCCTGGATGACGATTTTGATCCACTCACCTAGCCACTTCTTTACGAATGGAAGCCATCACCCATAGCAAATCGCCATACTAACCATATGATGCCAATACACTTGACGGAGGAAGCTCCCTACGTTCCCTATGTGTTGCACTGGTCAACAGAAGTTCGGGAGTCGCTCGTATCGAATGGGGCAACATACCATCGATTCCCCTGGAATACTCGTTGTCACACCATGCCGGATAAGGACTTTTTTTATACTACTTATTATTAAACTTATTCCAAAAATATATCATTCACCAAACTATTTCCAAGAATGATTTTTGGAAAATAGATAGAGACGACCTATGGGGTGGCAGCTACGACCTATGAACGTGGCGCTTAGATTTTTTTTCTAATAAAATAGGTGGTCGTCTCGACCTATGCGGTGCAGCTAACATGTTGACGAGACGACTCCACGTATAATATCTCTTTACCTATACGGCACTCCCAAGATTTTTTAAAAACAAAATTTCAAATTAAATTTAGCTAACAAAATCTTAAAATAAACCAACATATCTATTTTTAAGATTTTTTTTAGATAAAATCCAACAACCTATTTTAAAAAAATATTAAAATAAATTAATTAACTAATTAAGCATTCAAATTTTAAATCAAAATTTATCATTAAAAAAATTAAATATAATGATACCTCCCCCATAAATATTAATAAAAAAGTAAAGAACAATGACTCGATGATGGAAAATTGTAATATGGAGATTTAGAACTCGAGTCTAAATATCATAAGTAGAAAATGAATTTTCACCAAAATTTTCATTCTGGAGATCAAAAGGGCGAATGAATGAGAGATTGGTGAACGAAAAATAAGTTGTGAGTGATTGCCGAGTTGGAAATCGATGACTCAATACTATTGGGTTGCAGAGAACGTCATAGAACAAGCATACCTTTTTTCTTGAATCTAAGGTACCACCATCGGATCTAATTTTTAAAAAATTAAAGTTAGTTTAAAATTGAAATGTTTAATAACAATTAGTTAAGATTTTGTTAGATTTTTTATACTGTTTTTATACTTCAACTTAATTTAAATTCTTTTTTAAACCGATTTTTTTATACTTTTTTTTAAAGATTTTGTTAGGTTTTTTTATAATTAAATTAAATTTAAAGTTTGTTTTTTAAAAATAGATTTTTTGGTTTGTTTTAAAATTTTAGATTTTTTTAGTTAAATTTAATTTGAGTTTTTATTTTAAAAAATATTAAGAAAATCTTGAGAGTGCCACGTATAGGTAAAGAGATTTTGAAAAAGAAAAACAATTACAAGTGGTCTCCAAGAGATAACCTACAATAGGTGGCCAAAATGCAAAGGTGGTCATCCCCTAAAGAGACGATATGTTGTGAATTAAAAAAAAATACACAAGTTGTCGTCTCTGACTTGTAGATTTTTTTTTTAA